GCTGAGAAGGACTCGCCCCGCTGCGAGACTCCTCACACCCCGGAGACCCTTTTAATTTATCATCAACCCTCAACCCCAAGGTCAATAGTCTCTCCTCCTCCCCATAGGGCACGGCCTCATCTCGAAAAAAAACTCCAATACCTGCGGGCAGCTAAACTAGTATGCTAAAAAGAAAAGTACAATTCTAGGGAAACAAGCCACCAAATGCCTACCATGATGCTTTGCCTCCCATCTCCCCTTGGACACGTCACGCCACTGATGCTTATCATAGGTCGAACAAGATGCCAGCTTACGAGAACACTCGGTCAAATCAGGGACCTCGTTCGGCAACCAAGGAGTCGCTACAAAAAATAAAATAGAGAAATGTCGCTATGGATCCCGCCTCCAAACAGTGATAAAAATATAGGTTTGACACTTACGTGTGAAATTCTATTTCTCAGGAAAGGGCAGAAACTCTCCAGGAATGATATCGATTGTCCATGATCGAACGAATCAGCTCATCCATTCTCGGTCCTCGTCTTCTTTACCGTCAACAGTAGGAGATCCGGTGGATCGATGTTGCAGAGTAATCAAACCCCAATAACGCAGCGGTCGATATAACCTCATGAGATAACTGAGGGTAAATTCGAGCTCGACATTATCTATAAAGTATCTTATCATCTGCACTATCTTCCAAAGGGATGGGTGAGACTGCGCCAAGGTAACCTGATATCTCCGACAGAACTCAATCACGACCTGGTCGGGGGGACCCGATGTAAACGTGTGTGTATATAGGCTCAAAAACCCCTCAACGTAGGTCATGATGCTCTCCTTAGAGGAAGGTACTTGTAGCACCACTCTTTCTCCCCATCCATAGTCTTTTCTGATCATTTCGAGGTGTTCCTCCCCTACTGATGAGATGAACCTCGACGCATGCTCCCGATGTCCTTATATGTTGGGAGGTCACTCCAACGTAAAGTCTCTCCTCGAGACAAAACACCTCGAGGCCCGCTCACCGGGCACCGGTAGTGTACCACCGACCGGATGCAGAACAGAGGTAGAACTCCCCTCTCCTTGATGGGCGGTGTCGATGTAGCAATCATGGCTATGATAAAATAAGAGGAGGAGGATATAGATTTGGGGAAAGATTTTGAGTTGAAACGACGGGAGAACTAGCACAAAGCACCAAGTCCTATGGAAGAAATAGTTACTTAGAGTGGTAGAATTTCCACTGGAGAAGCAAGTGAATGAATATATAGGGGCAAAACAGTGGCTACTCGCCTACCTAGAGGGCCAATTAATTCTGGCCATTGTAAAGTCACCTTTTCCTTGGGAAATGTATTGGCAGGACTACCCGGGGTAACCCCGGGGCTCCCTTTATCAGATCGCATGAATGCTGCTACCCCACGAAAGTCGAGAGGTATCGACACCTCGGGAGCTTCTTGCTGTCTCAAACATCGGCCCCAAAGAGGCTATCAACCTAACTTCAATATAAGACCCGATTTCAGGGGTCCCAATTACTCCAAGAATGGGCTCCAAAGAGTTAATTTTAAAATTCGAAGAATAACTCCATAAGAGCAACGAGATACAATGAATTGAAAGACTTGGAGTAGAAAAACTCTCTTGCATTGCCAAAAATATATTTACAAGGATCGTCTTTACAAGGGTACATGCACAGAAAGAGAAAAGGAAAAAAAAAGGGCAAAGCGACACAAGGTCTATTCGTCATTGCCACTATCCTCCGAACCATCTCCAGGATCCTCATCTGGAGTGATCAAGAGCGCTGACTTTCTCTCCAACTCTCGGGACTCCTCGATCTTAGCTGAAAGATCGCCACCTCTAGTTCTGACCCCCTTCAAGGCTTCCCTCCTCGCCTTCGCTCTATCATGCTTGATAGCCCAAGCCATTTTCAACTCAGCCTCTATCAATATATTAGAGGCTATTTGATTCGCCGTGGCTGTATCCTACAGATAAGTAGCAACTTTTCCTTCGATCTCGGACTTGGCCGTAGTCTGCGCATAAACCTCCATTCGAGCATTTTAAAGAAGATCATTGGTCGATGCCAACTCCGAGGCCGCCACCTCGTTTCGTTCCGTCAGCTTGAGGATCTCCGCATTCTTTTGCCCGATCAGTGAATCCCTTTGCCTGATCTGCAAGGGGAAAGGTAAAACAGTTAGTATCGGATTATGGGAATAAAGTGCAAATTCATGCATGGAAAATACCTGCTCACCAAGATCAACTTTTTCTCGAAGTGCTCCCTCCAAAGCAGCCCTGAGCTCGTCTGACTATTTCTCCTTTCGAGCAGAGTAAGCCTCCGACTCTCGCAGTCCCAAGGTCAGCCTCTTAAGCTCCTTTTCATGGCATGAAAGCTCCTCATGAATCCTGGAAAGGGAATGATCATACATCTCCTTACACTACGGCAAAACAAAAAAGTTAGAATAATGAAGAAAAATGCTTGAGACTAAAGGAAATATGCATAAAATAGCTATTTTCTATTGTTGGAGCCTCTCCGCTGCCTTGACGGTGCCGGGAGCATCAAGATTGATATTCTTGCTAACATCATCAAGAATGTTGCCAAACGCCCCCCCCCCCCTTGATAGGACCCCCAGCTTTGGAGGTATTCACGTCCTGAGCATCCCTCAACTCCCCCGACGAGAACTAAGGGACCAAACTGAAATCGCATATATCATCGATGTCTCCGATGGGAAACTCCTGCCCCTGAAAATCTCCGAGTCACAACCCTTTAGGATCATAGGCAACGGTCCCCCAAGCAGAAACAACACCAAATCCGGTCATGGGATCGGGGACCACATTGATACCCTCCTCGAGGGTTTGTGATTCATGGGACCGACCTGAGTCAGCCGTTCCTGATTAAGTAGCCTCCGGTCGAGGCACCTGCGAGGCTCCCACACCTGACATCGTCCTCCGTGTCAACTGACACTTGACCTCATCATCATCACCGTCCTCATCCTCAGCACCGGGGCTTGCTCCGAAAGTTGAAGTCGAGGTCCTAGTGACGTCTTGAGGCTCGTGTGACTTAGGTTTCTTTACCACAGGAGGATCGGCAACCGGCTTACCTTTCCTTTTCTTTCCCTTGGCGGGCTCTGAAGGCCTGCACAAGAATAGTGACCGTAACTTATCAGCACAAAGGATACATGGAGAAACATAAATCTAAGACATAAGTGGCAAGGAAACATTACCATGATTCTTGGCCACCCATCGCTTCTTAGCCAGGTCGGGCGAAGATCGATAAAGATATGGGAACGTGGTGTCCAATTGCTCGTTCCATCCCGGCAGATCCGAGACCGCTTTGGGATACCAAGCGGTAGCTGCAGAAACCAAAAAGAGGTCATTTCTCTAGAAGAAAGGAAATAAAATCACAAAACATGTCCGAGGGAAAAAATGCTTACGCTATGTGTTCCACTTCATCCTTCTGGCCTGAATGACGTCCGAGGTCTTCACCCAAACAAACCTACTCATCCACCCTCGATCCTTCTCCTCGTCGGTGCTCGAGTAAAATGATTTTTTGGATTGGTAGTGAAGCCTAATCAAACCTCGATAAAATCGAGGACTGTACAACCTAATCAAATGGTTGAGGGTGAAGGTCTCACCCTCAACCCCATCGGAGAAATGGCGGAGCATCAAGACTATTCTCCAGAGAGAAGGATAGATTTGACCAAGCGTCACTTGATATTTGTTACAAAAATCTAGGATAACTGGATCTATCTCCGGGGGAGGGGATTTAGAAGGATCGATAGGACCCAAAGTGATTGGGTAAGCATATACATGAAAGAAGACAGCCTTGTAATCAGTTATATTCTCATCAAGGCTGGGAATATCCACCTCCACTGCCTCCCTCCATCGGTAGTCTCTCTTTACCGTCCCTATGTTGGTCAGGACACTAATTTATCGGGACACGTGTTCGCATCGGCCCGGTGCGGATGAAGTTTTATCGATGGTAAAGTCCTTCGACATGTCAAGCTCATTGGGAGTACATTGTCCCAATGTGGGTATCACTTTGGGTTTCCCTTTAGATGTTCGAGATGAAGAAACAACCTCATCTTTCCGAGTAACCGTCTTGGAGGTTCTATCCATGCTGATGATGAAATTTCTCTAAGAAAGTAAGAAGACAGGATACGAAAGGTAATGGATCTAGCTTTTCGAGTTTGAAGATGTTGAGAAAGTAAGAACTATCAAATGATTGGTGCATTTATAGGAGCTGAATGGGCAGTGGAAGGGATGGACTAATAGATGTTCGTGGGCTTCTCGGTAGTCGCGTTTGACGATGACCCTTGCATGGTTTTTTGGGCATGGCATTTAATGCTCTAATAGGATGACATCACGGTGATGATGCCTTCGAAATGGAAGCTCAAAATTGTTTCCTATCACTTCGTTCTAGGAAATGCGGGGACTATTTGTATACAGTGAAATCGAAGGGTCTAGTTTCTTGCCATTAAGGCACTTCGGAAGATCACCTCGAAGGCTCGAGGCCACAGACGAGTATCCTCCCTCGAGGGTCGTCGACACTCGACCTCAGGGTAGTGATGATTACGATAATGATAGAAATGGGGAGTTCCCAAGGTACACAGCAAGGACTGATAGAGCCTTCGTTGATTTCACTATAATTGTTAGCCATAATTTGACCCCCCTCGATAGCTCCCAGCCAAGCTCTGGAATGGACCTCGAGGCCCCCGAATCGACAAGCTCGAGGCCCCGACTGTCAACCTATCGGTTTGATTATCACCTTATTCGTAATTATCATTTCATTTCTAAGTCTCATATGCATAGCATCAACTGCTTAACAACTAGCATAAAAATAGATCATGTATTTTTAAAGTCCCATAATCAAATTTAATTGTTATTACCATTTTAACGGTAAACCGTGTGCATTCGGTATTTCATGTTTCTAAGCTTTGGAAGTATATTGGTGATCCGTCTTATATCTTGGATTTCAGCATGGTTTAGTTAGACGGTGATTTGACTTATGATGTGGAGCCAGTGGCTATTTTGGAGCGGCCGGTCTGAAAGTTGAGATCAAAGGATACAATTTCAGTGAAAGTGTAGTGGAGATGTCGGCCCGTGGAGGAGGCTACCTGGGAGACCAAGCGGGAGATGCGAAGAAGATAACTACACCTGTTTGAGGTTTCAGGTATGTTTCTTGACTTGTTCGAGGATGAACGTTTGTTTAAAAAGGGGAGAATGTAACGACCGGGCCGGTCGTTTCATGAGTTACGACCCTGTTTCCCCTATTTCTGCTTCTTTATGTGTTGTTCAGCTATATTTCATCGTATCGTGTTGGTCTGTTTAGGCTCAGAGTGGTTTTTTTAGAGGAATGAGACATTTAGTCTCTTTTGAGTAAACTTAAGTTGAAAAAGTCAACCGATTATTGACTTATGGGTAGAAGGTCTCGAATGTGAATTTTGATGGTTCATATATCGTTTAAGGTGATTTTGGACTTAGGAGCGTGATCGGAATGTATTTTGGAGGTCCGTGGTAGATTTAGGATTGAATTGGCGAAATTGGAATTTTTGCGTTTTCCGGTTGGCAGTGGAAAACTTGATATCGGGATCGGATTGGAATTCCGGAAATTTGAGTAGGTGCTTTGTGTTATTTGTGACGTGTGTGCGAAATTTCAGGTAATTTGTATGAGGTTTGATAGGTTTTTGCATCATTTGCGGAATTCAGAAGTTTGGAAATCCTTAGGCTTGAATCCGATGGTGATTTGATGTTTTGATGTTGTTTTGAGCGTTCTGAAAGTTGGAACAAGCTTTAATGATGTTTTGGCATATTTGGTTGAGGTCCTAAGGGCCTTACGTGAGTTTCGGGTGGTTAATGGATCAATTCTTGGCTTTAGAAGTTGGCAGATTTCTGGTATTTTGTTGTAGAGAATTCCTTTTTCGCGTTCGCGAGAAGTGTATCGCATTCGCGAGGGGTTATTGAGAGAAGAGGGGTTTTTGTTCATTGCGTTCGCGAAGGAGATGACGTGAATGTGAATGCGAAGGGTAAGGTAGAGAGTGCACCGCGAACGCGTGAGTGGTATCGCATTCGCAAAGAGGAGTGAGGTAGTTGGGACCCCGAGTCTTTTGTCTACGCGTTCGCAAGGTGAGGATCACATTCACGAAGGTTTGAGCTGGCGAAGCTTCGCGTTTGTGAGGTATTTGTCACGTTCGCGAAGAGTAAAGCAGAGAGGCAATTTGAGTTTGTCTATGCGAATGCGAGAGGACGGTTGCGTTCGCTAAGAAAGAAATGCCTGGGCAGAATGTTTAAGTTCAAAAAACGAGGGTTTTGGTCCAAAACTTCAAAATTCATTAGAGAGCTTGGAAGAAGGCGATTTTGGAGGGGATTTTCAGAGGATTAATTGGGGTATGTGTTCTTCACTAAAATTTGGTTAAATCTCATGATTATGTCTTGATCCATATCATTTAATTTGGGAATTTGGGAAGAAAATTGGGGAAAGTAGAAGAAGATTTGGAGAGTTGATTTTGGGGATTTGGATTGCAATTTGATGTCAGATTTTGTTGAATTTTATATGGGTAGACTCATGAGCGGATGGGTTTCCCATTTTGTGATTTTTAACGGATTCTGGGGCGTGGGCCCGAGGACCGGGTTTGAGCCAATTTCGAAATTTTTGAGTTAATTTGATTATTTCGCTTGGGCTTTGTTCCTTTAGTGTATATTGATGACAATATACTAATTTTTTGTTAGATTCGGAGCATTTGGAGGCCGAGTCGAGAGGCAAAGGCATTGCGGGTTAGATTTTGGACCAGTTTGAGGTAAGTAATAATTGTAAACATTATCCTGAGGGTATGAAACCCCAGATTTTACATTGTTTTACTATTTTGAGGTGACGCACACGCTGGATAACGAGCGTGGGGGCATGCACCGTTGGGGATTGTGACCTGGTCCATCCCGTATGTATTTGATCGAAAACTATTTGATACTATTGTGTTTTGAAAAGTATTACTATGTTTTGGGTTGAATGCCATATTTGGGCCTCGTGCCAACTGTTTGGACCCTTAGGGATTTTTTACTAATGCTTCCTCACTGTTTTGGTTTAATATCTACACTAAGTCATGCTATGTTTTACCGATTTCATAACTCGGTTTTATTTACTCTATTTTGATTCTACAAATAATATTTTGGGCTGAGCACTCTGTTTTAATGTTACCCCAAGTGGCTTGAGAGAATTCTGACTGAGTGAGGCCGAGGGCCCCTGTTGTGAGGATATCATGGGATCGGGCTGTGTAGCGCATCGTGTTGTACTCTTTTTTTATATATGAGAGGCCAAGGTCCTAATTTATTGTGCCACGAGATGGCTTGTGATAGCGCTAGGGTTGTAGGAGCCCCTACGGAGACTTAACACCCCTAGTGAGCGCGTGGACCCAGTGTGAGTGATGTGATTTTGTTCAAGGGGTTGTTATTGATTCATGTTGTTGCCCGAGAGGCTGATTACAAGTGATTATGAGGTAGCCCGAGGGGCTGGTTCTGTTGATATTTTGCCCGAGGGGTGGTTTATGGTACATGTCCTACTCGAAGGGCTATTTACGTTTCTATCAGTTTTACTCAGTGTTTCATCACTCATTTGAAACTATTGGAAGATGTTTTTAAAATAAAAGGTTTTACCAAAACTGAGTTGTTTTACGAGATAATTGAGTTATGTACTGTTTTTGGAAATTTACTGTATTTGATGTAGTGCTATGACGTGGAAATATTTGTTTTCTTACTGCTCATCTTTCATTTAATTTTATTACTTACTGAGTTGGTGTACACACATTACTCCATGTACCTTATGTGCAGATCTAGGTGTTGCGGGTTGTGATAGTGAGTGATGATCGTTGTTCCAGCAGGTCTTCGGAGTTGGCAAAGTAGCTGCTTGGCGTTCGCAGCCCTGCACTTCTCCTTCTTACCTTACTCAGACTGTCCCTAGTATTTTATTTCTGGACTATGATATTTTTTCTTATAGTTACACAGATCTTGTAGTTGCCGGTGACTTGAGATACCTCGATGTCGGGCTTGTGTTATTTTCTTCCACACTGGTTATTTAGACTTATGTTATGAGATTCTGTTAATTAATAGCTTAAAATGACTTTTATGACATACTGATTGGATTTGGGGTTTGTGTCGGCTAGTCTAGTTTCACGATAGGCGACATCACGATTGGGTCGGTTTTAGGATCGTGACAGAAAAATACATCGAATACAGTATATAACAACTGAAAACATTGCTATAGGAAGTAATTTAGTAAATAATAGTTATAGCAAGATAACAACCACTAAACAATAATGGTTTGTAAAAATATGAAGACATTCTTTCAAACGAGTAAAGCAACTATTTATATTATTAAAAGCCAAAAAAAAAGACACCACATTAATTCACATGATAGCCTACAATAATGAAGTAGTATAAAGTTTTGGTTACAAATAATTCATGAAATTTTCCTAGTGAAAACTAGGGCAGAAAAATTTCGTTCGCTTGTTTGTTTTGGTGTTTGAGAGGGTTATACATCAAGACACAGGGTTCGAGACAACCAAAAGAAGAAGTCCCAATCTAGAATAAAAGAAAAAGAAGAAAAGAAAAAGAAGTGAACTCAAAGTGCAGAAGCGGAGAAAAGATGTAGACTGCTCAAGACATGATTGAAGTCACAAGCTTTGCATGTCCTGCCTTGATCCGAAAAGCTAAAGAAGAATCAACTAGTGTAGACATGTAATTTTTGACCCTCCCCAAGATTTTACATAGTTTAAAATTTAAATATTTAGTTTAGGCCTAATATACCTATTTCAACTAATTATGACTCTTTTACTTTATTTTGTAATAAAACTGAAAATACAAAAATAGTTTCACTTTGTTTTCAAGAATATCAGTATTTTGGTAGTAATATTATTTTAACTTTGCGATGATTTTAATCTAATCTTTCTTTTATTTTTAGTATGATAATTTAAAATACCAAAAAATAATTTTGTTTTAATGGTTCCTTTTATTTTAATAATTATTTCTACTTAAGTAGGGTTAATTAATATTTTGGTAATATTTCTATCTTTGTTTTGTAAATATGCAAGAGTTGATGTTGGATGGATAGATTTTTAGTTAATTAGGCCAATTTTAAGCAAATTTGGTCATAAAGACCCAAGCTTCTAGCCCATTCCCTGTGCCCAATACCCTTAAACCCACATAATAACCTAGAATGCCTACCTAAAAATGAACGAGCGGTTTCCTATCTTCTACACACCCAAGATCAGCAACCTTCTGGCTTCTTCAACACACAAAGGAATTAGAGAGCAGCAAAAACGTCCACCATCTCCCTCACGCCAGCCCGATCTTCTTCTCCAAAATACGTGTTGATACCCAATTTGTTAACCTATATATTTTAAATATGCATAAAGCCTTCAAAATAGCATATATATATATATAAGCATGCACAAGGCTTTTATTATTTTCCCCATATTTTTAAAGTTTAAATTGATTTATTTTCTCTCCTTTTTATCCATAAAATCCCCAATAATTATTTTCAAAATTATTGTTTGGACAATTCATTTATTTAATTGCTATACTTATAAAAATATGGCTAATGTGATTTTTATGTATTTTTACAATTATGTTTAGTATTTTTTTAAGCTAAATTGCATATAATTGTAATGTTAGCCCATCTTAAGATATAATTATATTTTATATGCATAAAATTGCTTCCCATACTTTTAAAATGTCAATTATATATTTAAATCATTTTAGCACCTTAAATTATTTTCCAGAAATTACCTATCATTTTTATAAATTAAATAGGGGGAAAATTGGCTATTTAAATTATAGCCAAATTTGGCTTTCAATTATGGACAAAATCGGACCCCTCTCCAGCCAAATTACACACTCAATCACCCGACCCAGACCCTATACACTTCTACCCGACCCAAAAAACATCAAATCATGACCGTTGATCTAAAAGATCAACGGCCAGAAATCGTTCTTTCCTTTTTAATTCCTAAAGACCCCCAAAACCTAAGCCATTTTCAAAAGGTGTTGCCTTCAGATGCTCTTATTTTGTCTCCTCTCTCAAACCTAACCCTAAATTCCGTCAATCCCCTCCTTCTCTGGTCATCTCCGACGAGCACCCTTTCAACTCAGGCCTCCAATGGTCACTCCACTGCCTTGCTCATCATCTCTAAGGCCCTCAAGGGTCCTAGGCCATGTCGATTTGGACCTAGGGTTTCTAATTCTATTGTTCGAGGCTTCTCTGGTGTGATTTTGGGCAAAATCACACCATGTGTGTTGCGATTTGTGAAGTTACAACAGGTTCTTTCGATTTCTACTTAGGTTTCCTTTTGAAACCCAAACTCTCTTCTGAATCTCTCAGATCTATGTTATTTTCATGCTTTAAGCCTGTTTCCTTCTATGATTTACTTATTCTCGAGCTTTCTTCTGAAAGATCCTCTACTCTAAACCGTTTTTACTTTCTTTGGAAACTAGGGTTTTCTCAGAGTTCTTTCTACACCTATTTTAACCGATTTTGTTCTGATTAAACCTTTTTCCCTTGTATATTTCGACCTATTTTATGTTCCTACTACTTCTAACTTGACTCTGTTAAAAACCCTAATTTTTTACATGATTTTCTTTACTTTGTTTCTATGTGTGTTAGCATGATTTTCTTTACTTTGTTTCTATGTGTGTTAGCATGATTTTCTTTACTTTGTTTCTGTGTGTTATAGCATGATTTTCTTTACTTTGTTTCTGTGTGTTAGCCTGTTTACCTGGTTCCTGTTAATCTCTCGTGGTCACCATGCTTCAAATATGTTCTGCTGAATCTTTAGCCTACTTATATCACCTCTATATGATTGTGTTTGCCCATTTCTTATTTCTTTCTGTCTATATGTCACGACCCGGATTTTCCACCCTCGGGAGTCGTGATGGCGCCTACTAATGTGAGCTAGGAAACAAAAACTTTAATCTAATTACTTCATTAACCAATTATTTCTTTTTAACAAATATAAGATGATAACATGG